ACACACAGAAAAATATTAACACCGAGCTGGTTTATTTTACACCAAAGTATTTCATGAATATTGTACAGAGACTACAATTACGCCGAATGCACTATTTAAAGTAAGTGGTATTTTCAAAAGAATGATCGTACACTTCCATAACACATCCCTTCTTTTTTATCGAAGTAGAAATGAAGGTGGTTAGTTTATCAAACACCGTGGAGGTACAAAAAGTATATCTAGACTATAAAAAGATGGGATCAGTTTATGTACACCGAAAGAGGTATTAAAACGACATCAAAGCGGTACGTTTACACCTTGAAGCCTACAATTACCTTGTAAATACTTTTAAAAGACGTCCGTTGCTTCTTAACCCTCGCCCGCACATGCCATTTCCCATCCATAGAACGCACATGGGGGGGGGGTGGTTGCCACCCCCCCCCCCACGCCATTTCGTTCCTGTTGGAGATAGAGCTTAGCGGTAAAGACCAAAAAGATTGCTTGGGAAGAGACGAATCCAATGATACCCAGTTTTACCTTCTCAGGTCAGTCATTGACCTTCCAGGTCAGGTCAAACTAAAAATGTTGCTGTTTTAGGTCACCGTTGGATATCAAGCGCGCTGCTTGTCATATACCGATGACGATGCCGTTTTCTGGTGCCAGCCCACCTAGAACCTCTTTGTCACACTACCCGACCAGGTTTTTGCTGCTGAGGTCATTTCAGGTCAAGTTAGGTCAAGGTCAATAATATGTGTTTGTATGTCTGTGTGTGTCTGTGTGTATACTGATGTGTGCACCGATTGTTTATGTGTCCATATTACATGAAATCATGATCTGAGAAGCTTTTACCAAAAATGTAGTCAAAAAATTTCAAAAAAGTAAATTCAGCTTGCCTAAAACGCAATTATCTTAGATGACCTAGGTTGACCTTGACCCTGACCTTGACCTCTGTACATCGTCGAACAACATGTTTCATGATAGGTGGGAGGTAGGATTGGCATAAAAGGCCGAAATCAAGGTGTTAAAAGCTCACAAGGCCCATAGCCAACGCAAGATGTTGAGAATTGGCCATTTGGGTCATGACATGACCTGAAAAACAAGGTCATATCTCCGAAACCAAAAACCACAGAAACTTGAAATTTTCAGTGGACATCAAGAAAGGATAGAGGAGCAGCTATACGAAAAATCAGCCTTCTAGCTTTAAAAATGTTGAGTGCAGAGCAGAAAGACTACCTGGGGGGGTGGCAACCACCCCCCCCCCCCCATGTGCGGGCGAGGGTTAAAGGTGTAAAATATCCGTGGTGTTCTCAAAGTAGCTTACGGGGGTTTCCTTTCGCGCATGCGCAAAAGGGCGAATGCGCGCGAGCGTTCGCCGCCATTTTTATCAGTCTGGTCGGCTGAAGCGTGGAGCGCATTGGCAGTGCTCAGATCATAAAGAGTCATTGATGTTTATCGAATTGTGCGGTGCATATTATGGAGATTAAGTGGAGAATAGATGTGGAGTGGTGGTTGCAGACTGCAGATACAGCAGTAACAGGATGACTGAGGCGGAAACGTGGAGGAGGCTAGACTGTTTCGAAGCGTCCGGTTGCGGGAGCTTTTCCTGCATGCGCCTGTCGCGAAGGTAAGTTATAACCCTCCGGGCGGACTCTGAAAGGTTCGGAATCGGGCCTTTTCGACCCCCTTCAGATCTCGAAAACCACTAATCGGAGCGACAAATGGTAAACGGCGTTTGATAGTTCGTTAAAAGGCCTACAACTTTAATATATATTTTTGGAGGTCCGGTCAATATTGAGGTCACCAGAGGTCATAAAAAAATAAATTGTTTGAAACAGGTACAGTGTAGTGCTAGTGTCGCGTCGCTGGCCGCGGCGGTGGCCAGCTGGTGCAGTCCACCAGCCGGCCGGCCGACCGGTGAACGACCTGCGCCTGAGGCTGCCCACTGGTCACGTGACCCGGCGGTCGGGCGGACGGGGTGCGCCGCGCGGCGGCGAGTAGAATGAGCGGGAGCGCGGAGTCGGGCGAACGCGGTCTGCGGCCGGCTCGCTGCGTTGGCTCTTGGTTCTCTGTTTAGGGACTGTCTATTTGCTTTCGCTTATCTCATTCTCGTTATTGTACATATATCTTGGTCTAGGTTCTTGCTTTCTTTCCCGGTGAGCACACGCTACACTTGCATGACCTTTAATAGGTCAACTTCAAAATTGGGCCTAAGAAGATCACGCTGGATACCAATCAACGCGCCATGACCAGGCAAACAGTTTGGTACATTTACAAGTCTTTAGCACCATCATATCGTGATTTATTAGCTAAAAACCACTGATGACGTCACATGACTTCAGATGACCCTTCCCGGTACCCCTGTCAGTAAAAGGCACCTGAGTCATTACAGATCAGATAATCTGTCATAGTCCCCAAATAATTGGATGGTTTTGACTCGTTTACTCGAAGCAGGACGCATTTCAATATTTTCACATAGGCTTGTAATGTAGGAAGATCACGACTCTAACCTGACCTCAGGTCACAGAAAGGTAGGTACAAATTCTGATATATGCAAATTACACATGCTGGTAGATACTGTAATGAAGCCCTGAAGAGAGGAAATCGCTCCGTGAAAAATTCTAGCTCTGACGTGATTGCAAACTTTTCTGAGGTGGGGTATAAAAACCGCTCTGGTGACCTGACCTGACCGAAACCGGATTTTTTTTTTGCTGAAATTTACGTAATGAATATTTAGGAAAAGTCGCCAAGATGAGCTGAATATCTTGAGGCGTTTGGCAATGAAACAAGAAAAACCTGAGGAGGGCCGAAAAGGCCCCCGTCCGGAATAGGCTTAATACCCTGTCAAGACTGTGTTTTTATTTTCGGAGGGTATGAAAGTAAATCGCGAATTAAGTATCGAATAACTGGTCGAGTCGAAGCACCTAAATAGGGATTTCATGAAGGATCGTTAAATGAGCGCAGGTCTTCTGGCTTGTTTCAGAGTCAGCCAAAGCTGTGGGACGCTTCGTGAACTTTGGGCTGTATAGTGATCACGGCCAGCCAAACAGTGGCGAACTCCAACGAGACGGCGTCGAAGTGATTGATACAGGACAATAATCCCATAAGGGACAATAATGCGGACGCACTTGGTTAGCGTTGTGTTTTTCTGTTGAAAAAGCAAACCTGAATTTTCTGAAAACTTTCAAAAGCTGTGCCGCACTTCTTACAGGCCGTTGTCTTGTCATGATAACAAGATCTTTGTTTGCAGTAGTACCATGGTGATTTCCTGTTTCGTAAAGGTTGACTACACCAGTGCCGCAGTGCGAGTCATTATGCGCAGGAAATTGCTGTGGGATTAACGAGTTAGGGGATCACTGAGACAGTAGAATTTGATTTGATTAAGTATCGGGTGTTGGATGTTTCCACGTCATTGAGTGTGTTCCATGCGCGTTGCTGCTGCTTAAGTTTTTGGTGTACCCTTTGTTTAAGGCATTCGAATACACATGTTCTGTTCGTTCCACTTGTTATACGTTCTGTTCCAACCCCTATACAACAGGTGACAAATTGTTTTGTGTTTATTAGCGGATGTCTTATTTTGCGAAATAATCAAACCTTGAGCTTGTGCATCCCGAGATGCAAAAGTACTAACTTAGCCGTAAATAGTGATTTTCGATTTCTTTATACTTGGTTTACGACACCAGTGTTTGAAACATGCGAATAAACATGTCTTGTATTCGTTGAGGCACTTTGTTTGGACATTTGCAGGAAGCTACGTTGTTATGTATCCTGAAATATTAAGATTAGTCAACGGTATTATTTTAATATGCACGTGTTTTAATAGCTATAATATGGTTTATAAAAGTAAAAACGTTGTACTAATAGAATCGTAGAAGCATATTTTTAGTAGATGAAGAGTGTTTTCGTAGATATACCATGGGTGTAAAAAAAACTCCTTCAACTGCTCAGATATGTACTATTTGTTGAAAAGGTCCTCTAGGGTGTTTTGTAACCGCGTAAATGGGGTAACGTAAGGGTAATAGCATACTTTTAAAAAGAGCTTCAGGGTAATTTAACACCGTTAACGTTATATCATGGTGTAGTAAAACACCCAACCCTCCTAACAGTGTTCCATTACCTTCTTCCTGGTGTTCATTTATAAGCCAATGCGAGTAATTTAAGCGGGGAAGGGACTAAATTAACCTTCCTTAAGTGCTCAGATATGTACTGTGCAATTACACCACTAACGGTGTTAATATTTTTTGTGTGTAGGTCGCCTTTTGGAACAAACTCATGGGCTTCGCATTCAAAATCTTCCATAACCGTTCCATACCCCTCAGTCTATAAAATAACTGTAATGGGCTCATCATCGAAATGAAATAATCCGGTCATAATGCTCTCCTCGCGCCGGACCGGGGCAGGAGGCAGCTGGTGTCTCTCAGCGGGTACTAAATACAGACGGCGGCGGGGGGTTCCGGGCCACGCTGATATATAGCCGTGACCATTTCCGGTGCTCCAGTGCATGATAGTTATCACCAACAAAGATAATATATGCACATAACAGTTTAATCACAGACGCAGCGCAAGAGGCTCACGCTGGTCACCGGCGTAGTTCGCCCGGCTGTGCGTAAGTTTTAATGAAAACTAATTTGGACGTTGCGAATGTGTTCAATGGGCACATGGCTTAAATGCAAATTGCGTTCACGTTGAACAGGAAACAGGGCAATCTGGCCCTTTTTCTGTTCGAGAACTCCTCGCGGCTCGCAGTTAGATAACTCAGAAACCAAAGAGACATTGATTGATAAGCTTCGCTCGCTATACAAGCTTACAATTTATCGCATGTATCACATTACACAATACATAGTACACACACCCCTACGACGCACAACTTCCAGGCTAATAAAATGCGTAATGACCGTAATTGGTGCGTGGCTATATGTTTAGCAGACTATTTATGGTAAACGGCTCTAATCGGTACTTTGCCGACTGCACTTTGCCGACCGCTTGTTCGGCTGCCCGTCCGCCATCAGCAGTGCACTACTCACCAGCTATTGTTGCTGTCTGTGTATCCTGCCACGCTGAACCCGAACAGGGAGCCGACCGGGCCGCGGTACGCCACCCAGCCGTCTACATCCACATTGTAGCCGGCCGTGGACGGCAGGTGGACAGCCAGGTGGACAGCCAGGTGGACGGCGAGCACCGAGCCGAGCGCGGCAGCCATCAGGAACAGTACGCCGGCTGACACACTGACTGACACTGACACTCTGCAGCCGACCCCAGCTGACCCCAGCAGGTCAGTCGAACTTCAGCAGCTCAGGGAGCCTCAGAGACCTGGTGTTCACAGGGAATTCTCAGAAGTTCGGATCTGCTGAGCACAACAGCTGAATGAGGCTGACCTTAGACGTCCTCTGTTTGCCCGTTTGCCTTTTCGTGGCCTCAGATGACACGCTACACCTCCAGGTGATCCTTCAGGTCACCTCAGACGACCTCGATCGACTTCAGAGGTCTTCGTGTGACCTCAGTTCCCTGGTCACCTGATATGGCTTCATCTTACAGTGGTCTGATATCAAATGTCTTCAGGTGACGTCAGACAGATACTTCTAGAGGAGCTTGACTTTTCAGACCAGCTGTAACAGCTGATCTGTAACACCTTTTGGGGCGATAATGATCTGTAACAGCTTCACATGACCTCCAGCAACCTCAGTTCACCTCAGTTTACTTCAGATGACCTGTGCTGATCCCGAGTGACCTGTTCCGACCTCGGGCAGCCTGAACCACACTGTGCCGAGCTCAGTCGATCGGTAGTTATCCCGTCCTACAACCACAGGTGACCTCTCTGCTCGTTGCCCGGTAGGACACTCCCACACCCCAGTCTCCTACACAGACACGCACACTGTCCGTCGTCCGCTGTCACACCCGACGCCGGCCGCTCCTCCCGCGCCCCGTGGCCCAACTGGCCCGCCTACTCCGCCGAAATCCTGCCGGTGAGCGTCATACGAGGTGGCAGCACGCGGTCCCCCCCCCCCCACCCCCCACCCGAGCGGCCGGCTGGCAGGGGTACTTACAGACATACATACTCGTACTACGAGTCCATGTTAGCTCAGGGTGTAAGAGCTAAACCGTGAATACATACCACATGAAACAATGCCGATTGACGCATGCAAATAAGTAAATCTGTTCAACCCTCCCCCGACAAGGAGGACTGTGCCACCGGGCGTCTTTTTCCCTCTTGTTTCGCCAATAAGTTCTAAATACGTTAACCCACGCATGACTGGGCTATTTTCCATAACGCGAGTGAATGGGAGGGGGCTCTCCAGAACCCCCTCCCCTCCTATCTCCGAAACTGCTGGGCCGATCGTCAAAATTCAAACGGCGTCTGATAGCCCTGGACAAATTGTGAAGAGAAAGCTGTTTTCATTGACATCGAGGGCACCGATGACGTCACAGGTCAGGTCAAAGTAAAAATTATGGGCATTTTTGCTTGTTGTTTTAGGCTCTGATCGCCGGCTGACGAGTCCGATCAGGTAAATTTTTGGTTTACGCACTACTTGATATATGCCTTAGATACATTGAGGGTATCGAACTTTTACTTCAATTTTTTTTTCAGGTTAAGGCCATGGCCAGGTTATCTTAGGTCACGAAAATTGTATATCATGTATCGGTCACGTGACGCATGTTTTATGGTCCATTTTACTCGTAGGTACATTTCGAAAATAATGTCATCTGTTGTGTCATTTGAGGTCATCTTCAGCTGAATTTACCGGAAGTCAGGCCACTTTCAGGTCAGAAGAGGCCAAATTTTGAAAATGGAATTTTTCAACAAAAAAGGTGCCAATCAGGTGCAACTTGAGCTCAGGAATACGATGGTGCCATTTATATTGCTTTATGATGTCAAAAACGTACTGAAAATGTTTTTGAAAGATATAAAATTGTAAAATTTTGATAATAATGCAAATAACTTGGCTATTTTAAAAGATATTGGATTACACTTTTTCTTGAGTAGTTCATCATTGTGTGTTCTATCACACATATTCCGGTTTTTGCGAAAAATCAAAAAAAAAATTGAAAAATCAAAAAACATATTTTTTGTAATTGTAAAAACATATTTTTCAAAAAAAATCACAATTTCGAAAATTCGAAATAGCAGTTTGATAGCTACGTGTAGGTATTTGTGGTCTACTGATGCAAAGAAATTGGATCTAGCTTTAAAACTAAGCTCTTGAGAGCGTTTGTCGTAATTCAATATTTTGCATCAAAATCGGCCGACATGACGTCACTCTGACGTCATTTTCGGCCAAACTGGTAGCTAGAAAGTTGAAACTTTAACACTAGGTGTGAAATTGATGCCGCTGAATGTATCGCGAGTTTCGTGGTGATCTGTCAAACTTTTTAGAAGATATTGCCGAAAAACGGGAGGCCCCCCGTTTTTAGGAGCCCCCCCCCCGTCATGCGCGGGTTAAGACTTAATGTACTTGAAATGTGCTTAACTTTTTAAGTGCAGTTAACCCAGTCCGGCCCGGGGGGTAATCCCAACCACTGCAGCCCGGGGGGGGGGCGTTTTTCGCCCCCCCCCTGTCTAACTCCGTAAATAACGGAGCTACGGAGACAAAAGCGATACCAACTGATAGGTCCTTACGAGACGATTCTAAAGCACCTAAAATTTATGACCTCAGATCAATTTTCAAGGTCAGAGGTCAAGGTCAAGGGCAAAAACCGGCACATGTGTAGTGATCTCAAAGTAAGCGTTCTACATAGAGGACGGCAGGATGCATAAAACCGGCAAAATTGGGTGTCAAACGAAAGAAGAGAATCTGAAGACTCCGAGAATGTGCTCAAAATTAAAGGTTAAGGTCAAGGTCATGCTCAAAATTGACCTCAAACTTTGCACTTTTTCGTACATCTTGCGTGCTAACTTCCAAGATGTTTTGAAATGTTTTGAGGCTTATCAGGTCCTTATTTGTGGTTCATCTTACGATACAAGGCTGCTCAAAGGTCAAGGTCACAGAAGAGTATTCTTGCTAGAGGCTCTTTCACTGATTCAAGTTAGTAATAGGTATTAAAAAAGAATATTTTGCCATCCGGAGGCTCTAAATGAAGGATTTAAGGAAAATAGATGCCATATTCGTGATCAGCGGGTACGAATCCATCACAAACGAACTTTCATGTGTCAAGGTCAACCAAAGGTCATTCGAGGTCACATGAGGTCAACATAAAACTTGACCTTTTCCAAACAAAATATATATCATTTGACGCGGTTTGACAAGCCGAATGCGATGGTACCATTGCCGTAGCTCTAGGGCCATTTTTGTCGAAGTTATTTACGAAAAAACTAAAACCCCATTTCGGGGTCGTTGACCTGACCTCTGACCTCAGGTCACCAAAAATACTTTTTGTCTAATTTTATTTAGGTCAAACGCTACACACCCGTACCCGAAGTTTGCCGTGCAGGGGTCTAGAAAAATCGACCCTGTGACGTCATCAAGGGGGCTAGGTATTCTTTTTTCTTACTTCAGTAGATGTAAAATTGATGGGAAAAAAGGTACTGAAAGTTTCGCTCTCCTATCCCTAAGCGTTCGGGAGCTATCGCAAATATTCGCCAGGGGGGGGGGGGAACGCCCCTCCGGGCCCGCGACAGTTAACCCGGCAGTTGCTGGGGTATTTCGCCACCCACCGTTTGCTGGGGGGGGGGGGCGTTAAACGCCCCCAGCCGATAACTCGAGAACCAATAGGCGCAGCGAAACGCACGAGGCGGCAAACGAAAGAACGCGACGAGCCGCTTCAGATGAGTACTTCAAAGTTGAATTTTGAGGTCACAGGTCGGGTCAAGGTCAGGTCGAACACCTGAAATCGGGCTTTCAGTAGCATGGACTTCAGGACTTCGCAATGGGCGCCTCTCGTCAGAAACTCTGTCAAAACGGTGCACAATCCATCATATAAGGCCTATAAGGCCTAAAGAGTGTCAGCTCCATGTAGGGGTCAGTCAAGCATAGGTCAGGGTCAAGGTCAGGTCAAACGGGTAGGCACATATCCCCGAAAATCAAAACTGATATTCGCAGCCTATGACACATGTTTTATGGGTAATTTGGGCCGTAGAACACGATGGTGACATTCACTTTATCATATGTGTACGTGTTTAGCTCAAAAAGTTCAATTTAAGAAATTCATGTATCATGGTCGTGAAGTAGTCACGAGAAATTGTCAAGATTCAGTTCAAGATTTTGGAAAATGCGGAACGATAATCAATAATCGAAGATAGCCATTTGATTTTTCATGGTATTGGCATTTTAATGGCGTTTACGGCATGTCTGTATGTCTATTCTGTGATTTTATATGATTTTTTGAACATATGCCGTTTTTGGTCGAAAACTCAGAAATCATGACGTCACTAAAACCTCGATATCTCAAAAATTTTCCGACCGATTTTTTTTGAAACTTTGTCACAATAAACTTCAATCAATTCCCTACAGGTACCCAAAATTTGGCGCGCCTGCGGCGCGCCGTTTTTATGCTATGGCCCGGCGAAAAAAGTGGGGCGTTTAACGCCCCCCCCCCCCAGCAACTCGCGGGTTAAGCAAGCAAAAAAGTACCTATACCATTCGACGCGCCTTGACGTGCTGAGTTCACTGGTGCTTTTGTTGTTGCTCTATCTTAATTAGATCAAAAGTTATAAGCGAAAAACGTTTGACCTGTTTTAGCGAAATTTTTACATTTATACCCCTAAAACCCCCCTAAATATTGACCTAGAGCAACCAAATTTGCACAGGCGATAATTCCAAGGGGACCACCTACCTACCAAATTTGGTGTTTCTAGGTGCCATAGGAGCCAATCGCGAGGGGGGGGGGTCGAATCGACCCCCCCTTGCCAGGCCGTATTATGAAAAATGCCGTGCCAGGGTGAGGGTTATAGTCTTATACCAAAGTTACCACTTTAAAAGCACTTTTACACACTTTTAAGATACCAAATTATTGCTTCCAAATGACGTCATATCAGCGGGGCCTCCCAAAAGTAATTAACCCGCGCCCCATTGGGGTCTGCGTATAACACGCCCTACTGGGGGGGGGGGGGCTATTCATAGCCCCCCCCCCTCCTAACTCCGAAACTACTCGGCCGATCGTCAAAATTCAAACGGCGTCTGATAGCCCCGGAAAAACTGTCGAATGAAACCTAATTTCATTGACCTCGAGGTCACCGATGACGTCACAGGTCAGGTCAAAGTAGAAATTATTAGCATTTTGGCTTGTTCACGTTTTGGGCTCTGGCCGCCGTCTTACAAGTCAGATCAGGCTCATTTTTGGATCACACACTCGTGAACAGATGCTCTAGATACTCTGAGGGTACCAAGCTTGTACTTTGATTTTCAGGTCAAGGTCAAGTCATCACAGGTCACGAAAATATTATATCATGCGTCGGTCACGTGACACATGTTTTATGGTCCATTTAGGTCCGAGATTTCGAATTTGATGTCGTCTGTGTCATTGGAGGTCATTTTGAGTCGAATTTAGCTTAGGTCAGGTCACTTTCAGGTAAAAAAAGGTCAAATTTTGAAGTTGAAATTTTTCAACAAAAAAGGTGTCTATTTGATGCAGTTTGAGCTAAGGAACACGATGGTCTTATTTATATTGGCGTACGATATCAAATACGTGCTGAAAAATGGATTTGAAAAATTAATAATTGTGAATTTTTTGCAATAATGCGTAAAACTTGGCCAGTTTTGAAGATATTTAGCTAAAACTTGCTAGAGTTAGTCATAATAATGCGTTCTATCACATATATTCCGGTTTTTTCGAAAAGTCAAAAACTTTTTGAAAAAATGTAAAAATATAAATTTTGGATTTTATTATATTAAATTTTCCAAATTTTCCAAATTTCGAAAATCCGAGATAACAGTTTGATAGCGCAGTCTATTCTGAGTCCTCTCATGCAAAGAAATTGGATCTAGCTTAAAAACTGAGCTCTTGGGAGCGATTGCCGTGGTTCAATGTTTTGCGTCGAAATCGGCCGAACATGACGTCACTCTGACGTCATTTCCGGCCGACCTATAATATATACGAAGTTCAAATTTTGACACAAGGTGTCAAATTGATGCAGCCTAAGGTGCTGAAAGTTTGGCGTCGATACGTCAAGTGGTTTGGAAGTTATTGCAGAAAAACGGGAGGGGGGCTATGAATAGCCCCCCCCCCCCAGTGGGGCGCGGGTTAAACAATGATTAAATTCTAATGTCCTAAAAACCGGTGAATATTTTTCGGCGATATTTGATAGACATTTATTTTTGCTGTTTCTGACCCGGTACATCACTTATATGCAACTTCATAAACTTTTTTGAAGGTGGTAGGGTCCCGTTAACGCGCTGCCACTCACTGTCAGGGAGCAGCAACCGGCCGCTTTTAGGACACTGACATCACGTTTGGACCATCTTTACATATAATGTGCGGGTGCTTATGGGTCTGTATATGCCTGAAAGAGCGTGTATGGATGAATTTATAGGTCTTCAATGCAAAACAAGGCATGCTGTCTGCTGCGGTCGACAGGAGCCCGCTGCTGTGATTCCTGTTCGGGCTGCTGAAGGTGATCAAAACCTCTGCCTCTGTGGGAACAGTGCTGCCACCTACGTAGGCCAGCTGGCGCCACTCGGGCTGCCAGCCTCATCGACAGGGCTCACAATTACCAGAGCTACGGGTCGGTTAGGTTGGGTTAGTAGGTCAGGTTAGGTCCATAACCTTATTAGCCATGCGTCCATTTTTTTCCTCACCGCTCCCTCATTTCATCCTCAGGCAGACATCCGAATCCTTCTCCTCGCCTGAACTCCCTGTTTTATGCTATTCAGGAAGCTCTCATACGAGCGCGCACGCATCCGGGTGCAGTGAGCGTTTTGGGGGCTGGGTGGTCTGTCCACCGGACGGGCTCAGCCCCAACGATTCACTAGGGGGCCGTCCAGACCAATAACTCCCCCTAATTTTTATCATCCTTCCTTCTAGGTCTGTAATGAATGGCCTTGTCAGACTCAAAGAGCGTAACCCTACAAAACAAACACAATATCCTGACGTACTTTATTGATAATTATGCGTACTTTTGGCATGCATGCGCACTTTTTATTACGATCATTTAAGTACAAAGTAGTCGTTTTCCCGACGGCCATCTGGTGCACTTTTGGTGCACACTCACTGCCGATTTGGTCAAATTAGGCTCATGGCTGCATTTTAGTAGGTTTCCATTTAGGGTCAACCTCAGCTCACCGCCCCTGCAGAAGCGACTGCATGCAACGCTGATCAGTTCATTGCAAAATGCATGCCTCTGTCGGAAAAATATTACACACAAAATGCATAACTGTGTCAGAAATATGCATATATTACACACAACCAGCTTCTCATTCATTATTCATTCCTCCGAGTATTTATATAACAATAATACCTACCTAAGCACGACGGCACGTGCCCCACTGGACCCGGGATAAGACGCATACATACCCACACTGTTCATGGACACAGGACAATGGACATAAGCGACTTTGCTGGGCTCACAGCGGACGGAGAAATAAGTGTACGTCTACTTGTCTTATAGTTTTGCCCGGTACATTAGCCTTCTTGCACCTTCCCAGGTCCGCGGAAAACAAATCGTGGAAACAACTTTGTGAGCCACATGGAAACGACTATAATTCTTCTTCACACAAAGTCTACTGCGGTTGGCATAAACTTATACAAGTAACGCCATAACAACACAGCTAGCCAACAACCTGTCACCGACATTATACAATGCGCATCAATTGGGAATAAAAGTCTGGGAAACCTAGGCATATAACCCGCGCCCCACTGGGGTCTGCGTATAACACGCCCTACTGGGGGGGGGGCTATTCATAGCCCCCCCCCCTCCTAACTCCGAAACTACTGGGCCGATCGTCAAAATTCAAACGGCGTCTGATAGCCCCGGAAAAACTGGCATGCGAAGCCTAATTTCATTGACCTCGAGGTCACCGATGACGTCACAGGTCAGGTCAAAGTAAAAATTATTAGCATTTTGGCTTCTTCACGTTTTGGGCTCTGGCCGCCGTCTTACAAGTCAGATCAGGCTCATTTTTGGTTCACACACTCGTGAAAAGATACTCTAGATACTCTGAGGGTACCAAACTTGTACTTTGATTTTCAGGTCAAGGTCAGGTCATCACAGGTCACGAAAATATTATATCATCCGTCGGTCACGTGACACATGTTTTATGGTCCATTTAGGCCAAACATTTTGAATTTGATGTCGTCTGTGTCATTCGAGGTCATTTTGAGTCAAATTTAGCTTAGGTCAGGTCACTTTCAGGTCAAAAAGGTCAAATTTTGAAGTTAAAATTTTTCAACAAAAAAAAGGTGTCTATTGGATGCAGTTTGAGCTCAGGAACACGATGGTGCTATTTATATTGGCGTACGATGTCAAATTCATGCTGAAAAATTGATTTGAAAAATTAATAATTGTTAATTTTTTGCAATAATGCGTATAACTTGGCCATTTTTGAAGATATTTAGCTAAAACTTGCTAGAGTTAGTCATAATAATGCGTTCTATCACATATGTTCCGGTTTTTTTCGAAAAGTCAAAAAAGAATTGAAAAAAATGTAAAAATATAAATTTTGAATTTTATTATATAAAGTTTTCGAAATTCTCAAAATTTCGAAAATCAGAGATTGCAGTTTGATAGCGCAGTCTATTCTGAGTCCTCTCATGCAAAGAAATTGGATCTAGCTTAAAAACTGAGCTCTTGGGAGCGATTGCCGTGGTTCAATGTTTTGCGTCGAAATCGGCCGAACATGACGTCACTCTGACGTCATTTCCGGCCGACCTATGGTAGGTACGAAATTCAAATTTTGACACAAGGTGTCAAATTGATGAAGCCGAAGGTACTGAAAGTTTGGCGTCAACACGTCAAGCGGTTTGGAAGTTATTGCAAGAAAACTGGAGGGGGGCTATAAATAGCCCCCCCCCAGTAGGGTGCGGGATAATAGGCTGCTTATCTCAAAATGCTCATGCGACACAAAATGCAGCGAGGTTCATGAATCATGACATTATCATTTATGTAAGTACATATCTTTAAATATAACATTGCAAAAGACGTTTCACTTGCTTTATAAACATATTTACCCCGTACCCGTGTTTTCTCAAAACCATAGAATCCGCATAACCTAAGGAATCTACTAGTACACACCATGTTTATATGTGACTGGAACAGAAAGGAAGCGATGAGTTCGAACTGCTAATCGAATGCAGTATGCAGCCCTCTGTCGATCGCACAGACGGCTTTTACCGGCCGCGGAGCCTGGGCTTGAAGCGCCAGTTGTTGGGGTTCAACTGGTTGGCATGGTTGTTCAGATCCGCCCGCGTGCGCTGGAACAGGACGGCCAACACAGTTCAATGCCGAATCACAGTGAACAGACCTCTAAACCAGTGCAGCTCGGACGGGACCAGGCGAGGACTAGGTCGAGTGAATGTTGTTTGCTTGTATCTCGTAAAGCTATATCCCTCGCCGGCCGAGGGGGGGGGGGCGGGTGCCGCCCCCCCCCCCATAGGGTTTTTTTTCGCGATAGCTCCGAGCACGCTGGCGATAGAGAGCTGAAACTTGGCATACCTGACCTTTGATTCAAGCCGAATCTTTTGACACCAACCGCATTTTTGGGTCAGGTCAGTGGACTCAGGAAGACCTGCCGAATCGAATGATATGCGACATGACCCCTTTCGGCCAACTTCGTGACCTGGGGGTGCTGACCTGACCTTGACCTAAGGTCCACACCCTAAGTTCACCTGACCCGAACAAAAAGTATATCATTCGACGCGCCTGAGCGAGGCGAACACGATGCTGCCAAAATCGCGGCTCTGCGGCCGTTTTTTGCGAAGTTATTCACCAAAAACTGAACCGTACCTTGGGGCACTTGACCTGACCTCAGAGGTCACCGGTTGACCTAGGACCTTAAAGTCGGATACCAATCTCTGCGTCTGGTAACGGCGCACACGCTCGTTTTTCCGCGACGCGCTAGCTCCACCAGGGGCGAAACGGCGAGGGGGGTCGTACCCGCCCCCCCCCCCTCGGCCGGCGCGTATGTAGAAAACCAATAGGTTCGGCGAGGGATATACTATTTAGCGTATTTTGTTACCGCCTACCGGGCCGCGACAGCCTGTTTATCGGGCGGGGGAGAAACAACGACCGTCGAGGACACACTGGTCCAAGGGCTGCTGCAGCCTGCAGGCCTTGTTGCTCCGGCCAGGTAGTGCTGTATACTGTAGGCATAGGTACTAGCTCGAGTCGCACATCTTTATCACCCTTTTAGGTGATCGAATATGCTTGACGGTCGGCGACGCATAATAAGATCGGAGTGATTGTCCGGCGGATTTCCTGAATTTACAACATCGAATAACACGTATACATTGAATGGCAATGTCCTCACCCCGCGGAGCAATGGAAGTAATTCGTCACCGCCGCCGTCGCCGCCGCTTATTAGGCCACATATTGGGCCGCAGGACGTCACGATGACCAGCAGCAGCAGCAGGCTGCCGGTGGTTGTGGCCAGCGCCACGGACCAGCGCCTCTGGCGCGCCACCCGCTTCTGCACGGTCGGCGCACAGCCGGCACTGAACGCGCCCTCCGCGGCGCTGCAGGTGGCCGCCGCGGCTCGCTCGCAGCACGAGTCGGGCACCGTGCCGTTGCCGAGCACGGGCGCCCAGTCAGCGGCGCAGGTGGGTCCGCAGCAGTGCAGAGCTCGCTGCACGTGGTCCCAGTCGCGCGCGATGGGTGAGTTGTTCCGGTACTCGTCCAGCGAGGCGTTCATGATGGCGGTGACGTGGTCCAGCGTCCCGCCGGCAGGCTGACCAGTAATTTCATCTAGACGGGCAGCCACGAAAAAGAGCGCCAGCAGCAGCAGATTGCCGAGCAGTGACGTACACTGACATGCAGGCAGCAGGATAAACAGCAGCAGCAGCAGGCCGGCGCCGCCGAACACAGTCGTCCAGACGTCGTTCGACACACAGAAGTCTGCCCTGATGCACTGGTCGCCGTCCAGCCGCGCCACGGCCTGCGCCCCGGTGTCGGCGAGCCGGCTGATCCCGAGCCCTAGCAGGGTCCCGGAGAGCGTCAGCACCGACATGGACAGCAGCAGCACACAGCGGCAGCCGCACGCCATGGTGGCCGCTCGCGTCGGCACCGACACACCTCCCAGTCTCCCACTGAGGTTCGACGGACCGAAAGGTGTAGGAAGGTCACCCGCTATCTGTTTCGCTATCTGGCTGTACTCGCCATCGTATCTGTTCCGCTATCTGACTATCCACCGCGTGGAAACTCTCTACTGAAGCCGGTCGCCAACTGCGCTGCCCAGGGCGCTGCCGGAGTCTGGGCCGACGGGCCGGCAGGCGGCACCCGACACTGGACGGAACAATATTCTGATTTCATGACGCTTTTCAATATCGGCATCGTATCCGTACCTTAGGTGTTTTTTGGCCGTAGCACACTGTTATAAGAAGTTATAATCGAAAAAAACTGTTGGGGACTCTTATTTAACTGAGATGACGCCTCGAACCATAAAAAATGTCACGGGTGGAATCATTTTGAATGGTGATTTTATTGGGGCAGTAATCGCCACGCCATGATGTTTGGATCGCCCACGATCGTAAATACAAATACAAATAGGCAAAGCCGGCAAAGCCAACTATTTGTGATTTACAGCGAATTCGTCAAATCATAATTTAGTGTAGGTAACTTTTGTACTTTGGTTTCGAAAACACCGCTAATGTTACGATTAACGGCGCAATGGCACATGAAATATGTTCAGAAACTGCTGCTTAGGACGATTGCGAAATTGGTTGCCAGGCAACTGCCATATGTACTTCAGCCAGTCTTCAGACGATTTTGGTGAAACTTACTATGCTGAACAGGTAGTCGGGGTCAAGGCATTCTTGTCCGGTTTGTTTTGTGCAGTAGGGCAGCAAGTTGGCAGTTGCCTCTTTCTATAATTTTCAATGCAAATGTGTTCCAGGTTGATGATTTCGTGAACCAAGATAGAATCAATCTCGAACTTATTCCGATTTCATGCTTTTTGTAAGTGACAACCCAATCTGTTGACAATATTCGTCTATCCATTCTGGGCTAATCTCACAAAGGTGAGTGCCAGGTGGATAACTAAGAGTTAAGATGGATACAAAATGAGATGTTTGCCTGTCATTGAATTTTAAGGCCACATCGGAGTTCTATAGCCTTGGCCACATCATTGGCTTTGATGGCGATGGTTCAGATACGTACTGAATCCGAAGGTCTTTTCGAATGACTGGAGTCGTATTCTCTGCATCAGATTTCATGGAAGAGGACTTGAAAACCTTGAAACTTGATACACTTACCCTCAAAATCCAATTTTATCAGTTTTCCCCATATCAGTTTTATCTTACAGGAGAGCTTTACACTCAGAAGCATGGCATTATGCCCCATAGACGGCCTTTGGTGCGCCTGTTATGTGTTATTAGATTAGAAATGAAAGTGCACTAAAATGCTGCATAAACTGTTAACTCACCTGGTTTACTCTCCTGGTTGGGTTCCCGCTTCCCAGTGTCCTTAAAGGAAGGGAGGAAGGAAGTGAGAAGCAGTTACAGGAACCCTGAATCCTAGACTCACCAGCCTAAGTTCTCACACTCAACGGGTCACAACGGGCAAAGCAAAGCTTAAAACTTAAAGCAACTGGCAACATCTATTTGAACTCACTATTTTATGGAATTCTGCAGTGTTTTTTGTTATAATTCTGCTGCACTTTTCACTCATCCAACGCAGACATCAAAATGGCATTGTTAGTGTAATATGATTATTAATTATATCTCTCTTCCTCTTCATAGTATGGTTGATTTGACATTAATATATTGAAAATAGTTGCCCATTTCAACATTTTCATGATAGTTTTCATGTTATTTAGCATGGAGAAGTAGATTCTGACTGTAGGAAATGTGTGTTTTGGTGAGTAAAGGTCTACTCTAGACCAGAGGCCTGTTGCACCAAACTACCCAGCTAGGTAAAATCGAAAAACCAGTTTCAGAATAAGCTTATCTAACGATGGTAAATTTGTTTGCAATAGCCCAATACATAATCCTACATGTGCCTGCTAAATTTTGCACGCAAATTGTTACATTTGAGACTTGAACTGGGTATACGATGCAAAATAATCCAAGCATTGGTGCAAGAGGATTTTGGTGCAAGAGGCCTCTGCACTGATTTGATACTAGTAGGTACTTATGTATCATTTTGACGAGATATTCAAGGTTTTGGTAAGCATTTGTGAAGTGGATGAGGGATGGCAGCCATTACCCACCCAGCGGCCACACTGAGACTACAAAACATGGCAGACTCGAGTTTCAGAGCCAAGCAGAGATATGGGGACATGCTTACTGCATTGGAAACGCACCATTCAAATGTGTTTGTGCTGGGGGATGAAAGTTTCAACTGGGTATTGAAACACTTCTTGCCAGGTGTGCAAATTATGGACACAGCCAGGCGTTCCTGCTTACCTGCAAAGCATGGTAGACCAGATCTTGTCAACAAGATCTGGTCAGTGTGGAGGCCCTCAGGCCTCAGCTCAAGCTGGCTTGTGTGTGGTGCTGTGAAGAATTACCAAAGTGTGGGTGAAAATTACTGAAATCACAATGTAAATTTATAGCAATTCTTTAGCACATGTAACCAAGGTATGGCTCAGGATTGGTGTGGAGCACTGGAGCAGTGCCTAATGTACCTATTGGGGGCCTACCGTGCTGAATTGCTGTGCATGGTGCAGGCTCATCATTGACTAAGAAAATTATTCTTGAGAATTGGGAGGCACATTGGGGTCAAGTGTCGGCCATAGAACAGCTGGCCTTTAATTGCATTTTTCACATTACAAGTACATAATGCTAAATTCTTCTGTGAAAATTGAAGTTGTTGGTGGGCATGAGTGTGGAGTTGTCACCCTAGCTGGTGCAGCTCATCATCTTGATCTCTGTTGCCATGGTTTGCAGTGTGCATTCCAGTAGGTTGAATTTTAGATGGTGTGTTGAATTGTTTAAAGGAAACAGTCCACTTTCCTGAAATCAGTATTTTGCTATTGATTTATGATTTTTTATGCTCAAAATAATCATGAAATAAAATAAAACCTTTTTGTAAAAACAATTATTTTCTTTATTTTAATATAGGGCGAACTATATTCTATGTAAAATAATGTTTGACGCGGAAGCTTATTACGCATTGACCAATCATATTGCGTTGCTCAAACCCACGAATACTGCATTGGCTGTAAGCAGCACGCTGATTGGCTGACGATGACGTGGCTGCATTCCTGTGCAAGGCACGCATTCCTCTACAAGGCACTCTTTTCGGAACGAGAAATGGAATTTCTTCGTCTAGGGTGATCGTTGAGCCGTAAAAGCTCCTGATTTGTGCTAGTCTCAGCTCAAGCTACGAAACTGCTATTCCAGCTCAAAAGTGGTCAGTCAGTGACTGACCAGTGACCACGTCTATATGAGCAACTCGATAACAGAAATAATGATGTCATCGTGAGTACCATCCTGGAAGGAAATGTAACTATTTGTTTTGGTAGCAAAATTTTGAGGTATCGTGTTGAAGCTTAGATAGTTACCTACACTGGTTTCATTGTAATGTTGTTGTTGTTTTTTTGTAAATTCAAAGTGTGAATTCCGGTAGACAGATCAAAAAAATAGATATGGTTTGGAAATTGTTTGACCGAACTACGTACTTCATCGAAAACCGGGTATCAATGTACGTTTCTTCATTTATCTGAATGCGGATTATGTACGGCTCTCGCGAGATTAAGCGGTAGGTTTTGCACTTTTACATTTCCGGTTATATCTCAGAAACTAATCGATCTACGATGAAGCCATTTTACACGATCATGGCCGGCTTGTTACCCAACAAGCCGATCGCATCTTCAACACTTAAAAGCTTAAGACGACGAAGATATAGCCTGAAGTACACTTAATTTTCTAGGTGCAAAACCTACCGCTAAAACCCGCGAGACCTGTACCTAGGTATGTACAGCATTGGTGCAGCAATGGCATCGATGCGTATCTTAAGTGATCGCATTCGACTTTGGGTCGCGTATTATATACAATGCCTCCTACGCTGTAGACTCTGCAGTGTTTTGTGGCTGCACAGCTCACTCCTCGCCAGAATCAGTTTTCCCTGGCGAATATCACCCGGGCGCCAGTGCAGTGTCTCTAACAGCCGCCATTAGCCGGCTGGCAATAGTGGGAGTTTGCAGAAATGACTTCATAGCCGCGGGGCGGGCCGTGCGAAAACATTTGCTTTTATCGAAACTTTGACTTCCCTCCCGCTCTGTAGCGGAGCTGTTTTACCTAGGAGGGCAGACAATGCCGCAGCAAAATCGTCACATTTTTGTGAATACGCCTTTCAGTTTGAGATTGTTAGGGTTTTTAGGCGTAGGCCTGTAAAACCGAATTCATAAATGTAAATGTGGAGGCGTTTGATTTGAAAGGCTGAAGAATCAGTAGGTACTGGCCTTGTCAAAAATTGGATCCGAAGGAGAAGGAGAAGTGAGCGAAAGTTGATAATTTCGACATTAATGCGTTGCCACTCAGTTGTCAGTCGTCACTGACAACAGAGGTCAGAGCGGCACTCGTTCTGTGCCTGTGAGTCATTTATTCTTGTTACCCCCATTGCTTGTTATTCTTCCGTCACCGTGCGGCACGAAACGAGAGTCGGCTTACAATCGGTGGTCAATTATCGACTATCGCGTGGCCAATTATCGACCACGGCGACCATTCTCGATCTCTACCGTGTTGCTTGCCGCGTCGACGCTTTTCAGAAAATGCCCTGGTGGCGCTGGGGATGTTTGAGGCCAGAGTTAGAGCCGCCAGGGCGGGCCCGTATTTCACGGAGCCGTAGCCACTGGAGTCGTACTTACCTTTTCGTCCTTTGGGCCTTGCTGCAGACAAAAGAAAATCACTTTCACGCAATATGTATTACAGCATGTCGTCGACATGGGTTCGGACTTCTAACGACATGCTTTTATCGTTTTTTTTTTTTTTTGTCTTTCCATAAACTAGCTCACGTTATGATCAAATAACAACTGGAACGCTCGTTTGAAACACGGCCCAATAAACTGCCGTAATTGTAGCACGCACCCCAGTTATTGTCTAGTTAAACGTCACTTTCCCCTGGGAACCTGCTACGTCGGGT